TGTCATGTTGTCACACGAGAATAATGAGCGCGTTGTCTTTGCATTATCCAGAAATAAACATGACACACACAAATGATGAACAAAACAACAAAAAATTGTTGTTCTCATAATTTCCTCGTAATTTAATGACACATGAATAAAAAATAATATAAATATTTTTTATCACTATATATCCTCGCAATTAACGTCTTTTATAACTTGTTTGCTCTGATAAATACATTTATCTTAATGTAAAAACATTTTTACACTATAAATAAATAAAACTCGGATTTTTTCAGAAAAACCTAGAAAATAAAAATATCGATGAAATACATGGTTACATCGGAGAAAGTGTGTGTGCTAACCAAAAATACAACAACCCATGTTCAGACAGAGATCAAATTCAACCGCAAGTATATAATGCTCTTTTCTCATGTTACACATTTCTCTTTTAAAAACATTTAACAAACGATTCAATTTATAAATTCAATTTTGCGAAAACGAACATGTATCTTTGAAACAATTCAATGCAATAAAAAAATCTTGAATTTCCGTTTCTCGTAGAAGATAAAATATATAGGTATACATATATACGATCACATATGGCATATGCGTGCTCGGCATAGCCGTAGTAAAACCGATTAAGAAAGGAGCTATGTATGTGTGTGTACCATGTGTGTGAGTGGAAAAATTGAATAGATTCAGACTCAGTTGCGCCACGCACAATTGCAAACCTCTCTCGCTTCAAAAGCAGCGGATATTCTATAAATCTTCAAAAAGTTGATAAAATTTAAATTACGAAGTCGCGCAAAAGTGTTCTTTTCCGAAATATCGAAAATCCTGCGTTGAGAAATATACACGAAAAAAGTTTTTGTGTTTGTTTGAATTTCTTGACTTGAGAATATTCAATATCTAAATTCGGAACGTTTCAAACAGCCGACAGAAAGTTTTCTTTCATCACCACGATAAACATCTCTCACTCGCTGTCCTTCTACTTGTATTAGTCGGACGTGCGATGTTCGTCGCATTTATTTGAATTTATTTGGATTAGCATTATATCAAGAGAAGAGAAGACTGAGAGACCTCAAGGTCGGCGGTCGATTTTGGAAACGACTTGGCGTCTCTCTCGGAAGAGCATAGTTATTTAGTACAAACATAAGAGGCGGCCATTGGTGTGTAACCAGTGTGTTTGCCAGACTCAGAGACTCGGTCAATTCTCAAGGGACTGATTTCCCGCGGTGGCAAAGGTGATTTTCCAGGGTCTCATTGTGACCACATCGAATATTGTATTCGCGTTACTGCGCTCGTAAAGTCGACACTATAGGGCTATTCAGGTAATGGGAAAAATGATATTGTCTTTAAAACAAAAATAAAGATTTCTTTTAGTAATACCAAGGAAAACTCAAAAGTTCGAGGATACATATATTTTCGAGACGTAACAAAACTTTAGAAAAAGTTTTTTTTATATATTATGAATACGTCTAAGTATATTATTCTATTTATAATAATCTATTTATAATAATTGTGTTAAAAATGTATCTTTCAAGACTTTGTATAAAAATTTAACTAGTATTCTGTTGTGGAGAAAGATATTAATGGTCGTGTTTATCTAGTCGTTAAACCGTTAAAACCGTTTAAGTCGTTAAAACAGTATAATAATTTCATTACGTCGCATTGTACTTGATATTAAAAAGTCTCTTTTGACGTGTGTCGCGAAACACAAGAGAGCTTTTATCTATGCAGTAATAGAATTTCGCTAATTCCATTAAAAGTTAATTCGAGAGAACCATCAAGGTAGAAAGCCGCTTTGCATAGTAAAGCAAAGTATATGTAGGTGTATACATATCATTTTAATCACAAAACCGTTTTTAAAAATATGGGAAAATAGAATCCCGTTGTAGAGAATGGCAAAAACAGGAGCAATTTGCGTTGCCATGATGGTATTTAGTTTATTTAAATAAACAATCACTTTCTTTCTCTCTCTCTCTCTCTCTCTCTCGCTCTTAATTAGAATTTAATTAAATCTTTGAATATTAAATAGTCTAAGTAGATAAAATATGTTTACCGAATAATGAGCAGCTAATGTTACCTGAAATCGACGCGAATTTTGCAGTTACTTCATCCGCGTGTTTGCCTAATACTACAGCAATAATTACTCTTAGCTTTCCGCTCAATTGCAAGCATTATGCGTGCTCATAGCTACCGGTACATTGTTTTGAATTTCGAGAGAACATGGACGCGGAGAATTACATCGGGAAATAGAGTGGTATATGCATTCTCTCATTCGCGAGCACGGCATATAGTATTGTTGAGGAGTACTCACAAGATGCTTACGCTTGATAATCACGAGGGCAAGATTATACCCCGCATGTATGTATATGTACGAAGCACCCTATAAATTCCGATTATGGGAAGGAAAATAAAGCTCGGGCAATTAAATAAATCTCCGCGGGGTTGTTCTCATAAACCAATTAATGTTTAAAATTAATTGAGATTTATAAGTAATCCTTTTCTTTTTCGCTCTTTCTATCTCTTCTCTTAATTCAGGCTCCGCGTGTAGATAGGAACAGGAAATCAATTAAATCTCATTTTACATTAACCAATATTTATGGAAGTGACCCAAATACACACAAGCTATTTAATTTAACATTATTATAATATAATGTTCAACAAATCGCGGCCTACAACGCTTGAGACAATTTTCATGTTTTATTAGTTCAAAAGTTTATCTAAATTAACATAAACTAATTAAGCTTTATTGATAATTTTATTAATAGTTTCACATAATTTTACATATGTGTGCATCTTTGTACACGTGCGATGCAAGAGATTTAGAATAGTTCTTACGTAAATAAGAAAAGTATTACATGTACGTACTTTGTATCGCATGTAAATGTCGATAGATATTTTATCTCGTATCTTTATTCGTGTTAATATTTTATAGCGTGAATCTTATTTGGCGCAAGATACATACGTCGACGAAATGACTGGTAGATTAAACGAGGATGCATTTCGATTTTGTGTTTTACGATTTTACAAGATTGCGATTTGCACCACGCGGAAAATAAATCTATCGCAATCGCGCGCAGCTGCAGTCGACTACTTTATATCAACCGCAATCACACTACTTTCAGGAGAAACAACGTGGCAAGCTTTAGCTATCGAAAATAGTAACTGTGCTTCGCAACGATGGATTTACGACGCGAATGTTAAATGGTCTCGTGAAGCTTGAGAAACTAAAACTTGAATTTTCGTTCGCAATATCTAATAGTTCCATTATTTTATATGTCCTACTTGTATTCTATATATTTTATTAATATACTTCTTTCTTTATTTTCTATTTTGTGGCACTCTATTTTAAAATCTTGCATTTTTGTAAATGAAAGATAAATAAACATGTTTTTAATTAAAAAGATAGAGAGAGAAGGCAATAACGAGCTACACCTGATGTTCGGATAAAAAAAATTCTTCTTTAATCCGAATAATATATAATGTTTTAAATAATATAATGTTTTCAATTGCACAGCTTGATTTTTTTTTCTATTTGTTGTAATATACTAGTATCTTATTTCTTTTGTTTGTGTTTTTATTTGGTAAAATTTAAAATTATCAAATCTGTCTCCGAATATAATTCAACTATGATTTCAACTTAAACTATGTCCCGCAACCTAAATACAACATTTGCTGGAAGGAAATTAGTCAACAAGTCTGTAAAGACGATAAATGTAAATTTCCCTAGCTCTCCTTCATTTCATCTTCGATAGAGGTCTCTGAAAGTAAAAGATCTTTGAAGCAGAAAAGACTGAGAGAGACCACAGCCACATTTTAGCTGTTATCACTTTTCTGCTTGTTCGCGAGCGCCAGTGTCTACAGTGGTGGCACATCAGCAACTACGTAGCCATGTCGATACTTTTGTATAATGCATAACGCATAAGACATAAAGCCCGTTCTACATTGATCGCAAGCGCAAACACAAGGGATAGATCTCGTAGAATTGACCAATCACACTGGTCAATTGACTGATTTGATCAATACGATTAGTCAATTCTACTAGACCTGTTTTTTGCGTTTGCGCTTGCGATCAATGTAGAACAGACTTAAGAGAATCAACCAAAGCTTTCGACCTGTTCTACAATACAGTCGTAAGTCGTAAGTCGTAAGAAATTGACCAATCACAATCGATTATTCTTCTGTAATTGGTCTGTGATTGGTCAATTTCTTACGACTTACGACTTACGACTGTATTGTAGAACAGGCCTTCTAGAACAAGAAGTAGGGATGAAAACAAAAAATTGGATTGGTTGATTTTCTTATGTCTTATGCGTTTTATGCGTTATGCAAAAGTCTGTGCTTTGACCTATAGTATACTCACCGACAAACCGCTCGTGTACGTGGCTACGTATAGTTGCTAGCAAAGAGAAGAATGAGAGCAGCCAGGCCCATAAAAAAATGAGTAATCGCTTTTCTGTCCTGTGAGCCAGCGCAATGTCCATGGCACACTGGCAACTACATAGCCATGTCCACGACCGACTTGTCGGTACGTACGTTATACACAAACAAAAATGGTTCTATTTCGTGTTATGTGCGAGTGCGTCGGTATACAGACTTGTACATCGATAAACCAAATTCAATATTCGTCAGCTCTTGGACGAGATGAAGGGCAAGAGAATCTTTTTGTATCCGGCACAAAATATCACACTTTGCAGTAATAACAGAATTCTCTACAAATATTCGAAAATTTTACTCAAGTTTTTCTATGTAAAATCAAGTATTAACACATTTACAACAATAACAAATTATTACCTTTAAATTATTACCATCAATAATAATAGAACCGCACGGTTGTGGATATAGCAAGGAATAGAACCAAGTCCAAGTTTGAACACAATGTTCGTATCGACAAGTCGTTCATGAAGATGACTACATAGTTGTCAATGTGCACCACCCATGGACACTGCGCTGGCTTACAGGACGGAAAAGCGATTACACATTTGGTTATAGGCCTGGCCGTTCTCACTCTTTTCTCTATAGCTTAGTTCGGTTCTTTGAGCCATATAAGCACCAAACCAACCAAACCTCACTCTTTTCTCTGATGATACCAAGGGACAAAATGCAAAAGGTAAATTTAATGTTCTAAAAGCAAAATCATAAAAGAGTACTAAAACAGAGTACCGATTGTGTGTAATTCTATAATATATATATATTTTTTTCTAGAAACAAAAAGAACCGATTCATTCCGTGCAGGTCTTCGGACGAAAGGTGAGTGGTATAGCGACAAGACTGATTGAGGTTATGTCACCGCGTGTTTCTACGCTTACAAAAAGTATAATGCGAAATTTCACATTCGGATCCTTAGGAATAATTTATGCAATAATAGCAATTGGATTCCTAGGATTTATTGTATGAGCCCATCATATATTTACAGTAGGAATAGATGTTGATATACGAGCTTATTTCACCTCAGCAACAATGATCATTGCTGTCCCTACAGGAATTAAAGTCTTTAGGTGAATTACTACCTTACACGGAACTAAAATAAATATAAAATATTATTTACGTTTTAGAAAAGCGCGACGGCAGTTGCTTACTGCAAACGTGGTCGTGGAAATCTTCGTGTCAATGGCCGACCGTTAGAACTGGTGGAACCACGAGTTCTTCAATACAAATTGCAAGAACCTATCTTACTCTTAGGCAAAGTAAGTGAAAAATAAAATTATGCGGGTGGAAACATGATTTACACCTGCTGATCTATTCAGGTCTTTTTGATTCAAAATAATTTTTATTTCTTTGTTACATTTTTGTGTGATGAGTGAATGTTCTGGCTGATGGATATATTTTTTATTTATATTATTTGTTACTTATATCTTTGAATTTTTAAGAATAAAAATGTATGACAGTTTATTTTGTTTTTATATATCTATAAATATATATAAAATAAAAAGTTGGGTTATATTGATCTAACAAGCAGTACAACTGTATAGTAAATTCGAACAGAACAACAAGATTAAATTGAATTGCAACTTATTAAATTAAAGCTCTCAAAGCTCTGTGATAACTGAACACAGGATTAATTTCTCTCACGACTTTGATTGGAACAGAGTTAAGATACTGGACACAGAAACATCTTATCACAAAAGGCTTATCTCTGAAACATTGCATATTAAACAACAAAGTCACGGTCTCAACTTGCAAAGTGACACAGAAAACTTAGACAAATCGTATTTACCTTTTGTAGCTAACATAGTATAGTCTCTCTAGTGCGCATGATTTTGTTTTCTTATTTTGACACTTTTCGTGCGTTTTTCCTCAGTTGCTACTGAGCATCTCGTATAACATTGTATTGTTAAATGTACATCTTTGTGCGAAGATAATAACATCAGCGTATCTGTAAGTTGTTTTCTTATATTTAGCGTATGTATTTGTAACATTTTCTCTTAATAATTTTTGCGAACATCAATTTTTTATTTTTTATTTATTTGTTTCATTGTAGAATATATTGATAAGAACTTAAAAAGAAGGTCGAAACGTTTATTTTTCACTCATGATTTAATAAATCACTTTCTTATACATCTACACATCAACACCGTTGTTATGCTCTGACTGCCTTTACCACACCATTATTAAATTAATGTGATAAAAAGAGTATTATTGTAAACTCTCTTTACCTTAAAGGTTCTGAATTTGTTACTTCTTTTTAGTCACATTTTCTATTAATCTATATTAATGGTTAACATGTTCCATGCCGCGTGGGTCGTATACGCCCCACTCTAGACTTTCCGTTTAGGCCATATACTATTTTTGCTATTGAGTGTGACATTATCATAAAATATTTTCTAAAATCATATTGATGCCTAAATATCATATACAATATAGTTATTACATCGTGGGCATTTAACTACTATTTTCTTGATAATAATGATTTCTGCAATCGTAGAAATATTATGAAACATATGTTATAAACAAAATTGGTAGTCTCAAAAGCGTGGGGCGCATACGACCCACGCGGTGTGAACGAAAAGTCATCAAAAATCGGACCGGCACAGAACGTGTTAAAAACTATAGATGATGTCTATGTATTTTGAATTTGTCAATTTATATGTGTGTATATATATATATATATGCACACAATTAGAACTGAAATATGAGTTTGTAGAATTAATTGAACTATTGACTTAGTAACTATGAAAAAGTTTTATTTATTTGTTTAATAGGAAAAATTCTCTGGAGTTGATATCAGAGTAAGAGTAAGTGGTGGTGGTCACGTTGCACAGATCTATGCTATTCGTCAGGCTATTTCTAAGGCTCTCGTTGCATATTATCAGAAGTGTAAGTATAATTGTAAAATCATTATTATTTCACTATTGAAAATTGATGATAACGGTATGTTTATGTTTTAGATGTTGATGAAGCTAGCAAAAAGGAAGTAAAGGATATTCTTATCCAGTATGATCGCACACTTCTGGTTGCTGATCCTAGGAGATGCGAACCAAAGAAATTTGGTGGTCCAGGTGCCAGAGCACGCTATCAGAAATCCTATCGTTAAATGTACATCTTGGATTACATTTTATTTAATAAAAAAATTTTAAATATATATGTGTGTGTGTGTGTGTAGAAATGTAAAATATGATAAATAGGATTTGATCAATTTGAGACAAATATTAAACTCATGATAATATCTTTATCTTTTTGAGACAGCGATCGTTTTTATCGTAAATATCTATACATAAATAGATGCGCGTTTGAAACTTTAACATACCGATCTTTTGCGCAGTATGAAACAAAGCGGTTTTTAAAAAGATGGTTTGAAACTTTTTCTTCTGAAGCAATTTGTAAACAAGTCAGTCAGCGCTAGACACAGTCGCGTATGACATATTCAGACAGTGTGAAATTTTATTTCTTGTTCATCCGCTTTCTCTTATATGTATATGTTCATTTATCAACAAAAGAGGATCTATCTCTGGTACTCTTCTTGTTAGAGCACAAAAACGCTAATACTGATTTTTAATCTAATAATCATCTTGAGATGTAGACGCTTAAAACGCGATTAGACGCGCAGCAAACTGCCTTGTTATATCACTTTTAAGAAAATTTATCTTTTAATTAAATAAAATGTAGAAAAAATTAAATTTAAAATGAACATTCTATATTTTTCATAAGCATTTTTATAAACATATCTTTGTTAACATTTATATACCAAATGGTCGCCTAAATAAACATCCAGCAGCGCTTTTTGATAAGTTGTCGGAGCGCGTAATAGCGCGATCAGCCATTTAGAAAAAAACTTATGATTATCGAAATAAAATTTTAAAAAGTAATTTTTTTACGTATTTTAAACTATAGATATTCAAAGATATTTTTATTGTTGGCATTTAAACGTGATCTTTGTTCCGTGCATTCCCTCATTTCGATCAGCACCTAGGCGAAGGTAATGACAACGACGGGATACGAGGAGTACTCTCGGGCTAAGAATTGGAGCCCGAGAACTTCACTCGGTCGAACCGGCACGTGCGAGCGGAAATGCAGGGGCCGTAGAAACGCAGAAATACAGGAGGCAGTCATTTGACGGTCTGATGGGATATCGCCGACGTGGATCGCCCACCGTCATCCACACGGCCGTTTCTCTGTGCTCTTCACGTCCTTCTCTTCTCCATCCTCCTCGTCTCCTCTCCCCAGTGGCGGATTCAGTAAAAGCGAATTGAAAAATTAATGCGTAATAAAACCTATCCCTATCTAACTTCAATTTTTATTTAATAAGAAAAGGAAATAGTTATTTGATACGTTATCATCAATAAAACTTAGAAAAAAATACTTTAATAACTACCTTAGAAAAGTTGTTACACTTCGAATTTCTACACGATATGACGAACAACAATAAAAATCTAGTTTTTAGAAAATTTTTATATCTAATTTTTTTAAATATAAAATGTAGACTTTAAATACATTCTTCGGCACTCGATAGCTGTAGAGTTTATTGAGAATCCGCCACTGTATTTTCGCGATGTCGCGTTCTTCTTCGTCGCTCGCGCGAAACCTCCGCTGTTCTCCCCGTTCCTTTCTTCTCTTCTTGCGGTCGATTGCGATTCGCCGGTGTAACGTGGCGCGTTGCGCCCTGTGGTTACTTCAATTAGGTGGAATCATAGTTACGTAGACTGGCGGCTGTGCGCTGGCCGGCACAGAAGGTGCGCCTTGGTCACGGACCCCGTCGCGGACGTGCCTCCGGACTCCCTTGACATTATCGCTAATCATCTCGAATCGATAGCCGCGTCTACGCAAGCCAGAGATATAGCTATAAAGGTGTATGCCGGACGTGCGCTGTAATGCAACCAGATGCAACGCGCGGTTGTAATCCCAGTAATTGATCTATCGGGACGAGGGAACATTTTCGCGAAATCGCGCGGCGCTGACGAAAATTCTCGTCTTAATTAAAAGCGAGCCGCGGCAATTGGTTAGATAGACATTCCACGAGGCGTTTCGATATCTTTGAATTTTTTATTCTATTTAAAAAAATATAGTGTATATTATTCTTAATTTTTTAAAATTGTTTTTTTTATTAAAATAATGTATTTTAAATTGTGTGATAAAATTTCTTTCTTTTTTTTTCTTCGTCAAAATTCTCAGGTTAAAATCGAGTTCGGTACACCCGGATTCCTCGATCCTCGCGCGCGTCTCAGGATCCAAGAGTTATTACACGAAAACAGACGAGCTTTCGTAACGATCTAATAAAACGAGCCGCCGGGGCCACCTGGTGGATGCAGCCACACCGAGGCCCCCCGGGCACGTTGACACAACTCATTTTTACGCGATGTCCCGTGCGCGATGGGCGGCCGCGCTCATCCCCGCTGTTTATGCTGCTTTATACCCCGGCGTTGGTCATACCACCGCTCGCTGGGCTGAGTAATGGCGCGAGATCTGTGCCGTGGTCGCCAAGGGGATGTCCCGGCCGGAACGCGAGAGATACCATCGGAACTTGCGCGTAGATCTCTAAGTCGCCCGTTGCGACGTCCCGCATACGTGCCATCTCGACGAAATCGTGTTGCTCCCTTCGTTAGGGCCGCGCGTCCTGCTGGTACCCGGAGTTTTTGCACTGCAGTTTTTGACCTTATGGTTTTAATGTGCGCCAGTTTCTTGCAACTTTTGAAAAAGATTATTTTAATTAGATCAATTGATTCTTAATGCATTGTCAGACTTCGAACAAATCTATTTTTACTTCTAATTTCTAATTTTACTTTTAATCGATATATATGTATATCTAGTTTAGAAGTAGAATGCAAAGAAGAATGTTTATATAATATTTACGCAATTAGATTTGCGCAGCAAATGTAATTTAACTATGATCTCTTATTTTTGCTCTGATCTCTCTTATTTTTAATCTGATTTTCTCTTTGAAGACGCTTCGCATTGCTGTGTTCGAAAGTTTTGATCATAAATCATGAACGCGCGTTGAGCAACAAAGTTGGAAGCGAGAACTTTCAACAAGTCTCCATTTTCGCGCAAAGCTTACGCTATTGCCGCTAAATATTCGCATTTTGCAACCGAGTTATCTCTCGGACGCAATTTCCGCGCGAAACTGATCGTTATCGCTGATATCTACAACATTGGCAGTAATGATCTATTCCGCGTGGAGATGAAAACGAAATCACTGGATTGTAGGATGCAAATTACTAGCATTACTGTGAGACCCATTTTCAAACTACTGCAATCATCGCAACTACGAGAGAGGCAGCTGTTTTCTTGCGTATCGTGTTTTTTGAGAGTCATTCTGAAGCACAGTGAGAAGAGCGCTGAAACAATGACATTTTTTCATTCACGGAAAGTTCGCGAAAACGACCTTTGTAGAGGCTTTTTGTAAAACAATTGCGATTTTTACAAATTGAAATTAATGTTCCGATAATCTTTGCAAATGAAACTGTCGATTATCCTTAATACATTTCTGTCTTTTCATTTTGTGTTTCTCTCGTTTTTCTCTCGGGAGTGGCGACGGTTGCAAGCACGAGAGAGTACCGGTTTCTATACCGACTAATAAAGGTTTAATGAATTCACCGGTCTCTCTGTAATTCCATTCTGTCGCGCTACCTAATTAATACGGAATCCGCGGTAAATCGACAAGAGCGTATTCGAGAGCGAGATGCAATTATCATGATAAAGTTGATCGTAAATTTCTTGCAAGTGATTTTATGACTTTATCGATTCGTACACGAGAAAAGTCTCGTTCTTTTTCTGAGCTGGCAAATAGAACATTTCGCACAACGCGATAGCATCTCACTGCTTTCCGTTAGTGGCAATAATCAATTTGATGTCTTTTTTACATCACTAATTCGGACGCGATTTTATACCTGAGAGAAAGATTAGCATAAGATTTTCACTAGTTATCATACTCAGATATGATCAGAAAATTGCACGTACCTATCACATATTTTTTCATTTCTTAACCGCGTATCGCAGAAAAATATTGAATATAATGAATTGATTGAAACTTTCTAAACGTGCGCTTCTATATTTGCTACATAAAATAAATTTAATAATAAATTTTCAAGAAAACATACATTATTAATTTATTCATGTTTTGAGATTTTTTTGTTAGTAGCTTTTCACGAGTTTAAAAGCATCTGATAAATAGGTACATCATATTTGATAATTATGTTGTCAAAAAAGTAAGATACTTTTCTCGAGATTTACTCGTTACGAAATGTTCCTGCGTGAGCGCATCGCGCAAAACTGCGTGCATGTGCAACGATACGTATGCCCGACTGTAATTATTCTTACACACGCGAGCAAAGTATTGCGTGCAAATTTGTTGTGTGAACAGGATTCCGCGCTCGCGGAACACACGTTACCGCGGAAAGGATCTCCTTTAGATCTTTGCGCCGCGGCCAATAACGAACCGAATCGTTTTACTTCTACGTTCCGTGTATACATAACAAACAACTGCTTGTAAATTTCACGCTTTGCACACGAGCGAGAATTATTCATACGTTTTTTCATCATTCTTCTTAGATCGCGCAAAAAAAAACTTAATTAACATCAGTACGGTCTTGTGCGTCGAACGACGCTATAGAAAGTTAAACAGCTTTTTTCGCGCCTACGCTCATACATGCCGCATTAGTTATTTGCAGACAGGGCATGATGATACATCACGTTGCATAAAAACTCATAGTAGAATATTTTTATATTACAAAATATGAATAATATAACAATATATATATATACATACGTAAGTATCATCGAGAAAGTATATTCTATTGTATGTTAAAAATTTTTTTTGTTTACTTTTCCCCAAAATAATAAATAAAAAAAAATTATGTGTACCAATAATAAAGTAAATAAAAAAACAGATAGCAAATAAAGTGAATAAGAGAATGATTATCAAAGGGGGTATTACATATTGCAATGTTGCAAAATTCTTTGAGTAAAGCGATGCAACGCAATACAGCCGTAACGTTGTTGCACGTGTGCATTTTACGAAAGCACCACGTTATGTTTGCTGTCTAGTTGCAACGTTTGGTCATTTTGAGACACCCGTTCAGAATAGACACCGCAGATATTACATTGGTAAAACTGTGCGGCACACAATGCATCAAGCGACACAAGACA